GAGAGAGAGAGAGAGAGAGAAGAAGAAGAAGAAGGAGGAGAAGAAGAAGAAGAAGAAGAAGAGGAAGAAGGAGAAGAAGAAGAAGAAGGAGGAGGAGAAGAAGAAGAGGAAGAAGAATAAGAAGAAGAAGAAGAAGCGCTAGTGTTCGGATGGGGTGTAAATGAAGCGTCACGTCGCCACGACGACAGCGACGACGATGTCGGCAACGCTTGCTCCTGTTTCGCTTGTCTGCATGTAAGACGGAGCAACGCGGTCACACCTAATCAAATGAGGTCGCTGCATTGTGACAGAGGTCGCTACATTGTGACAAAGGTCGCTACATTGTGACAGAGGTCGCTACATTGTGACACAGGTTGCTACATTGTGACACAAGTCGCTGCATTGTGTCAGAGATCGCTGCATTGTGACAGAGGTCGCTACATTGTGACACAGGTCGCTACATTGTGACAGAGGCTGCTACATTGTGACAGAGGTCGCTACATTGTGACACAGATCGCTACATTGTGACACAGGTCGTTACATTGTGACACAAGTCGCTACGTTGTGACAGAGGCTGTTACCTCGTGACAGAGGATGCTACATCGTAACAGAGGTTGCTACATTGTGACATAGGCTGTTACATCGTGACAGAGGCTGCTACATCGTGACAGAGGCTGCTACATCGTGACAGAGGCTGCTACATCGTGACATAGGCTGCTACATCGTGACAGAGGCTGCTACATCGTGACAGAGGCTGCTACATTGTAACAGAGGCTGCTACATTGTGACAGAGTATGTTACATCGTAACAGAGGTCGTTACATTGTGACAGAGGTGTTACATTGTAACAGAGGCTGCTATATCGTAACAAAAGCTATTACATCGTGACAGAGGCTGCTACATCGTGACATAAGCTGCTACATGGTGACAGAGGCTGCTACATCGTGACCGAGGCTACTACATCGTGACAGATGCTGCTACATTGTGACAGAGGCTGCTACATCGTAACAGAGGCTATTACATCGTGACAGAGGCTGCTATATCGTGAAAGAGGCTGCTACAACGTGACATAGGCTGCAACATCGTGGCAGCAGTTAATATATCGTGACTGACCCCATCACCATGAGTGTCATTCTCGCTGTAACCAGCGTCTGTGTTGCCGTCACCATGGCAGCCCATCTGTCTCTTACCCCAATGCCCTCTAACGGTTCGTCAGCTGCTGATCGCGGCCTGTGTTTACCTCGGGATAGAGCGTCCGAGCGGCTGTTCCTCATGAGCAAGGATGTAAGGATTCCGCCCGCCCGCGCCTCGCTCAACCTCAGCGGCGTTCACCTGAAGGTGGCGCTGTGGTCGTGCTCTAACCACACTAACTTTCATTTGGGATCGCGCGTTCTCAAGGAGCTCTCTACGTTTATGTACTTCACCTACACCGTGACGGCACGCTGCTACGGCTTCGACGGTATAGTCGCCGGGATTGCAGCGGGAGAGATAGATATCGCAGCATATCTGCGAATCACGGAGCACCGTCAGCGGTCCGTGACTTTTCTGCATCCACTCGCCGAGTCCCGTTACAGCTTCATCATCCGTCTAGAGAGAGTGGACAAGCCAGCACCACTGACGATATTCGCTCCATTGGACCGGACCTGCTGGTTGTGCATATTCTGCTACATGGCTGCTAGCGTCGCTACACTGACGCTATACGAGATGTACAGAAGGAAGAGAGAGGGACTGGAGAACAGAGCCTGGCTGCAGGTATTCGGCCGGTACCTGATGTTTAAGCTGGGATCCGTGCTGCAGCAGGGCGGCACGTATAACGCTGTCGACATGCCGTCACGGATGCTGGTCGGATGGTGGTGGCTGTTTGCTCTGGTCATCACAGCGACCTACTCTGCCACGCTGGGCAGCCATCATTCGATACAAACCATCAACACTTACCCGTTTACATCCATACAAGAGGCCGCCACCAGTCCACTGACACCACTTGTCTATTGCCACAATTCAGAAGCGCAACTTCTCTCTACCAGTGACCCCGAGTCTGACCTCGGCCGACTGTGGCGCCGCGTAGTGGCCGACGATGGTCTCTTTGATTCGCGAGAGAAGGCGTTCGAGATGGTGCTAGATGGAGACCACACTATGATCAATGATGAGTTAAACGCCATTTACTTCTTTGCCAATGATTACAAGCTGCACGGCTACTGTCGCTATACCCTGGTGCCCCATGTCTTCTTCTACCCTGGATACCGAGGCCTCGCCGTGCCCAAGCACTTTCCTTACACGGAGCAGCTTAACTACGGCATTCTGACGTTGCACGAGCGAGGATTCATCGCCGAATGGAAGAGGGCCGCGCTGCCACGAGGTGTTGACCAATGTCTGCAATTTTCTCAACACACTCTCGTTAAAACGCACACACGTCTTCTTCCTGCTTCTCGCCATGGGAATAGGTGGCGCCACCGTCTGCCTCCTGGTGGAGATGGCCATCGATTGGGCGGGACTGGGCAACGGCGTCCGCCGCGGCATAGAGGGCGCCACTGCCGCCAAGGAAACCGTCGGCGTAAAGGGTACCCATGCACTGGAGCGCATGCGCGGTGACTACCCAGCGACAACGTCATTGGCACGCCCCATCTGGGCGACATCGCCCTCCGCAAACCAGTCGCAATTGACTTATCTGTAGTTGTGTTTAGCGAGGGAGGGACGCGTGTTACACAAAAGGATGAGTTATATCTAAGTAGGAGACAAAACTCGGAGCTGTCACTCCGAGACAAGAGAAACTTCGAAATTCCATGCATACACACACGCACACACACGCACATACACACGCACACGCCTGCGCACACACACACGCACACACACACATACACACACACGTACACGCACACACACACACACACACACACACGCGCGCACACACACACACACACACACACACACACACACACACACACAACACACAAACACACACACTCATACACATACACACACACAAACACCACACCACACAACACATACACACCACACACATCCACACACCAACCACACACACACACACACACACACACACACACACACACACACACACACACACACATACACACACACATACGCCCTTCATACCTGGCTATGCCCAGGGTACAAGGTCGTCATCTTCATTGACCGCACGCGTGAGGTGCATTTCAATAGATAGAGAGAGAAAGATAGAGAGAGAGAGAGAGAGAGAGAGAGAGAGAGAGAGAGAGAAGAATGTAGACAGAGAGAGAGCAGAGAGAGAAAGAAACGAAAGGATTGTAGAGAAAGGAGAAAGAAAGAGATTGAGAGGAAAGAAAGCCTAAGCAAAGCGAAAGAGAGAGCGAGCCCGCGCGAGAGATAAGCAGAAAGAAAGCCTGAGAGAGACGAGAGAAGAGAGACCGAGGAAGAGAGACGGCAGCGTGAGGTGTATTACGCTCGCTGACCGCAGCTGAAGCCACATTGCCATCACCATGAAGCTCATTTGAGGGATCGCAAGCATCAGCTTCCATCGCGTCAATGACCATCCCGGCTGATAAGGAGAGACACGCCACGCACAGCCAACGACCGAACACGAGAAAGCGACCGTCGGCGATGTAGAATAAACAGTGTCGTAGGCTGATTTTTTGCGCCAAGCGAAAAACGTTCAGCGTTGCTTTGATTTTGAATTTGTGAATGCAGGAATTGAATTGTGATTTTTCGTAGGAAGAAAAGCGTAATTTTAGCTTCACCGCCCGAAGCTATTTTTGCACGATGCTTTCGACTAAAACGAACGTCCAAGTCAATCGCTGCAGACACGCTCGCACGCTGTTCGTGTGCGCAGCTGGGGAAGTGTATATATTATATATATGATTGGGATGTCTCAGCATCGTCCTGCTCTGTTTGCTCGTGCAAAACGATTCAACCACTTCTCGCGTGTCTCACAGACGCTGACGAGAGAGAAGAGGAAGGAGATGGACGGAGAAGAGGAGAAAGAGAAAGGGAGAAGACGAGAGAGCGACGTCGGAAAGGCGGGAAAGAGAAAGAGAGAGAGAGAGACGGAAAGCTGGGAGAACGTGAACAGCAAAGAGAATGAGAGGAAGAGAGAAAGATGAGCAAAAATATGGCATAAGAAAGCAGAGGTAAGAGAGAAAGAGAGAAAGAAAGAAGAGAGAGAGAGGAGCACGCGTTAAAGCGAGTAACAGCGAGAGAGAGAGAGCAGAGAGAGTAAGAGAGAAAAGAGAGAGGAGATAGGAGAGACGACGAGAGAGGAGAGAGAGAGCGACGAGAGAGAAGAAAGATTGAAAGATGAGAGAGCGCGAAAGGGAGAGATGAGAAACAGAGAAGCAAAGAGAAGGCGAAGAGAACAGAGAGAGAAAGAGATAGAAGTAGAGATGAGAAAAGAGAGACGAGAGAAACTAGAGAACAGACGAGAGAGAGATACAGAAACAAAATGGAGGAGAGAGAAATCAGAGAAAGAAGAGAGAGCAGAAACAGAGCAAAGCAACAAACTCCCCAAGAAACTAGAGAGAGAGAGCGACGAGAAACCGAGAAAACGCTAGGAAGAAGCCAGAGAGCAGAGAGGAAAGATCGAAGGCGCATAATGTCGCAGCTGCTGAAGTGTATATTGATGAGGAGGCAATGATTCATCATGTTTGTCGCTGCAAAACTCAACTCTTCTCGTATGTTCGCCGACGCGGGGGGGGACCAACTTCAAGCGTATCGATACTCGCGGTGTGCATAGAATCTCGCGTATTGATAATCGACGTGTGATGAATCTCCGTATCGATAATTGGTGTGATGGAATCTCCGTATCAATATAATCGCGCTGTGATGGAAAACTCGTGTTACCGATAACGTCGATGTGCATAAAATCATCTGATCAATACTCGGTGTGATGGTCTCTGTATCGAATATCGGCTGTGATGGAATCTCCGTTCGATAATCGCGTTGTGATGGAATCTCCGTTTCGATAATCGGTGTGATGGAATCTTCCCGTACGATAATCGAGGCATGTGATGGAATTCCTCCGTATGCGCCGCAGCGAGGCTATGTACATGGAAGCAACTGTAAAACAAGCTCTGACGTCACTGGCTGTTGCTAATTGCTTAACAGATAGCATGCATGAGGGCAGATCAACATGAGCTACGAATGATCCATGAGCAGCAGATCTAAAGATCAGTACGATAGCATCCATGAAGCAGATCTAACATCAGTACGATAAGATTCCATGAAGCAGATCTCAACATTCAGTTATGCATAGATGCATTAAAGCAGATCTAACATTCAGTACGATATATTCATGAGCAGATCTAAAATCAGCACGAATAGCATCCGTGAAGCCAGCATCTAAACAATCAGTGCGATAGATCTATGAAGCAAGCATCTAACATCAGTATTGATAGATGCCATAAAGAGATCTAACATCAGTACGGTAGATCCATGAAGCAGATCTAACACCAGGACTATAGATCCATGAAGCAGATCTAACATCAGCACGATAGATCCATGAAGCAGATCTAACATCAGCACGATAGATCCATAAAGCAAATCTAACTTCAGCACGCTAGATCCATGAAGCAGATCTAACGTAAACACGATGAAACCTTAGAACCTAGGTATAGGCTTGAATCAACATTGCTTAGAGTTCTGTATTATGGCAGCGGATATGTCATGACACAGTGTCATCACAGCGACAGCATCGCCTGATCGTGTCCCTCCGTCGTGCGTTCCGTTACCACATCATGTCGGAAACTGACGCATCATGACAGAAGCTGCGCCACGTCATACCCGAGACTGCCACGTCATGAATCAGGTTGCCACGTCAAAACGGAGGTAGTCACGTTCTAGCAGAGACTGTTATGTTATGATCGATATTGCAACGTCACAACAGTGACTGCTATTGCATGTCCTAGGTTGTTACGTCAAGACCGTGGTTGCCACGTCATAACAGAGACTACTACGTGATGACAGATGCTGCCACGTCATGACCGAGGTTGCTACGTACTGATAGAGGCTGCCGCGTCATGACCGAGGTTGCCATGTCATAACAGAGACTACTACGTCATGACCAAGGTTGCTATGTCATCACAAATACTGCTACGTCATGATAATCATTTTCGAAGAAAGAGATGCAATATGAGATACAATATGAGTGGCAGCCGAAACAGACGTAGGAGAGGTGCTATACCGAAGGTGTTTAATATCTAGTTTCTCTAACATTTGCATTTATTGTTTTCGTGGTATCTGCACCGTATTGTTGGGTTTACTAGACACACTAATTTCGCTACGTATCTTAGCTATTATGTGTTACCGTATAGCATGATGGGTAATTTCACAAAGATCGGAAACAAATCAATTAAAATTCATTTAAACTTATACGTTCACCTTCCAATCCTGTTAAAACCTAGAAAAAAAGCGTTTTTAAAGAAGCGACATACCATCGACACATATTTATTTAAGTTAATTGTAATATAATTTAAATACGTGTATTACTAACTAACCTGCGTCATGGAATTGTGTTCATGACTTTGAATCTCAGTATTATTATAACATATGATATATTGATATTATTATCATCTTATATCTGCTACGTTTACCGCGACGTACGTTTTTGCTTTTAGCAAATAACATTATATACGAAACTGCCTGCAAGCTGTAATCATATATTGATTGATACTTATTGATAATGATTGATACATATTGATTGATACTGCATATTTTCTAATTTTAACTGCTAGCATGCATCGCGTATTGCGAATGAGAGTACCATAGCAATATACAGATGAACTAGTTTACTAGTCTAACTATAGTATGTTATTTCTATGGATAATGCACTAGGCTAGTTATAGCTAGACCACGAACGAAGGGCATCTTTAACTATAATTACGTTTGTTAAGAGAAGCTGTTAATTCAATAGAATATGCAAAAAATTTACATAAACTTGATTTTTTCTTATAATCAAGGTATATGATGGTTCAGGAACAATGCATTAAGCAATGCGCATATAAATCAATGCATTCTACTATGTTATCCTTTACCTAACGACCTTTAATAAACTACCTTTACTTAATCTAACTAGTATTAGAGCGAATAGGCACAAGAACTGCGCACTTTAATAAAGAAATGTGAAACTTTTACAACACATGTAGCACTTCACTTTCATTCGTGATTATTTCATGAAATGGTTCGAATTAAGTAGCGCCACCTGGTGGCGTATGGAATTTCCGGCGGTTGAGTATTTATTATAATATTATTACAGTGTTATTTTCAGTTAATTATTACAGTTTTACAATTTTGATCATACACATAATAAGATTTATCTCATTTGTCCAACTTATAGTAAAAAATACAACTATGATAAAAGCAATGTATTGCACATATCAACTTTGATTTCTCAATTACTCTACTCTTCTCTAAGTCCGGTGCAAAAATACGTGAAAATAATAACATCCTAATTTTTGGTTGTATATGAAATTACTCATATAGTCACACTTATATTTGGTGCAACACCATATATATTTTATATACGTGAGCAACATTATACATATTAAAATATTTACTATTTCTTAAGCATACAAATTAGGTAGACACATTAACACATTAACCATGTCCTAGTAACAGTAATTGCAATCTGACTCTACGTGAATAATATGTTCCATAGTGACGTTGATGGCATTGCTGCACCATTGT